AAACAAAAAAAAAACTGTCTAACAATTAGGACCTCTAAAAATGAAAAAAGACTGGTTTATATGAAGAACTGAGGCCAGGAGTGGTAGCACATGCCTGTAATCCTAGCACACGCCTGTAATCCTAGCACACTGGAAGGCTGAAGCAGGAGGACTGCTTGAGGCCAGGAGTTTGAGACCAGCCTGGGCGACATAGTGAGAACTAGTCTTTATTTTTTATTTTAATTAATTCATTAATTTTTTTTTTTGAGATTCAGTCTCCCTCTGTCGCCCAGGCTGGAGTGCAATGGGGTGATCTCGGCTCATTGCAACCTCTGCCTCCCAGATACAAGCAATTCTCCTGCCTCAACCTCCTGAGTAGCTGGGATTACAGAGGCACACCACCACGCCTGGCTAATTTTTTGTATTTTTTTTTTTTCCGAGACGGAGTCTTGCTTTGTCACCTAGGCTGGGGTGCAGTGGTGTGATCTTGACTCACTGCAACCTCTGCCTCCTGGGTTCAAGCGATTCTCCTGCCTCAGCCTCCCGAGTAGCTGACAGGCGCCTGCCACCACACCTGGCTAATTTTTGTATTTTTAGTAGAGACAGAGTTTCACCATGTTAGCCAGGCTAGTCTTGAGCTCCTGACCTCGTGATCTGCCCGCTTTGACCTCCCAAAGTGCTAGGATTACAGGCGTAAGCCACTGAGCCCAGGTTTTTATTTATTTTTTTCAGATGGAATCTAGCTCTGTTGTCCAGGCTGGAGTCCAGTGGCACTATCTTGGCTCACTGCAACTTCCACCTCCTGGGCTCAAGCAATTCTCCTCCCTCAGCCTCCTGAGTAGCTGGGACTACAGGCATGCACCATAATGCCCAGCTAATTTTTTTTATTTTTAGTAGAGACAGGGTTTCACCATGTTGGCCAGGCTGGACTCGAACTGCTAACCTTAAATGATCTGCCACCTCAGCCTCCCAAAGTGCTGAGATTATAAGCATGAGCCACCACAACCAGCCTTGTCTCTCTCTCTATATATATATATATATTTTTTTTAATTGCACATTTGGTCACAGGGGGTGTTCAACTAGAGACCAAAAAGCCACCTGAACAGATTGCCACAGGAGTGGCTGCAATAGGTGCATTGATCTAGATGACACCTGAAAGCCTTCTGGTTCTACATGGTTATATGTGTCTCTGAAATCAGCTTCCTATGGAAGACATATGAGCTGACCATCTGCTACCAGCTGAGGTAAGGTGCAAAAGAGAAAGTGGACTTATCTCTCTAGGGCATGCATTTGGGCCAGTGTAGAATCGAGAAAGCTCCTGCCCCTGGCTCTCCAGACATTCAGATGCCTGGCTTCTCTAGCACCATGCCCTCTCCCATGCCCCACCCCCTGCCCCAACTTACCGGGAGATGGCAAAGAGACCAGTGAGCAGGGGGAGCAGCTTGAGGGTATCCTGGGGCAGGTAGGTGGAAAGCACGGCCAGGTTGAAGAAGTAGAGGATAAAGAGCTGGACCGACTGGGCCACATATCGCCGGTGGATCTCCACCTCCCGCCGTGGCTCCCCAAAGGGCCGAAGGGCAGAAAACCATAACAGGCTCAGCCCGTACACCAGGATCCCTAGGTGGAGTTGGGAAATACAGGGTAGGGTCAGAATAGGCAGGGGAAGGGTGCAAGAAGCAGTCAGGGGGGTCAGGTTCACTGTGGGCAGTATATGGCCATGGGCTCTACACAGTGGGGTGGAGGTGGTTCTGGGAGGAGATGGGCATGCAGAGTGGCAGGGGGTGGGAGACGCTGAGGGGCCCAGGCCAAGTGAAGGGAAACCCTCCTGCTCCCCACGCCAGGCTTCCCGATGCCCCCTTTTGTCACGCAGGCTCACCCAGCACAATGGGGAAGGTGGCAAAGACCCCGCAGCGCAGTGTGTAGATCAGGCGGGAACTCATGGTGGGCAGCCGTGGGACATCAAAGGGCAGGAAGGCGTATGTCCCATATAGTAGGCAGGGAAAGAGGAGGAGTGCAGCTCCCACAGAGGCCACGGCCCTTATCCATTCCCGATCTCCACAGATTCCGCAGCCCCCACAGGAACGGCCAGGCGGCCTCACGGCTGCCTCAGCCCACTTGCACTCAGTGGGGTCGGGATGGGTGGCCCGAGGGGGCACAAAGGTTCGGCTCTCGCCCTCCGTTGCCTCACAACGCACGATAAGGTCTTCTTGGGGTCGCCGCTCAATGCACTGTAGGTCAATAGGCACGAAGGCACGGGCCGCTTTCTCAGGCAGCAGGTTGGCATCATCTTCGGTCAGCTCGTCTAGCTTAGTAAGTGGTTCTGACTCAGGGGGCTCCGGTTCAATGTCCCGCCAGCCAGGGGGATCCGGGAACGGAGCACTGGGCTGAGGGCCAGTTCCCCAGGGCAAGGTGGCAGCCTCGCTTACTGTGCTGTCTAGACCATCCTCAGCCCCCACTATGGCTGTTGGAGACCCAGCTGAAGATCCAACTCTGAGAGACTCAGCTCCCGGGGACTCGACCCCACCTTCTCCTTCTGGCTGCTGGCCATTGGGGACCAAGGCCTGGGGCGAGCTCTTCTCTGGGGCCTCAGACCTCTTCACTTCCAGCAGGGCCAGGGGCTCCTGTTCTGTCATCCTGGGGCCTCTGTTCTGGGATCTACTACAATGTCATGTCATCCTGCAGGGAGCAGAGGAAAGCTGTGTCAGAAACCCCGGTCTTCTAGTTCTTAGGATGGGTTGACAGAACTCATGCTCTCCAGGGCAACTGGCTTCATGGGCTTTGGCCCCTTCTGGAGCCTTAGGAAGAACGTGGTACAGAGGAAGACGCTGAAACAGAGGGAGGAGGGAAGGAAATGAGCAGCTGAAATGAAATGGAGGCACCCTTTCGACATCAAATGCCATCCAACAGGAGAGGGTGAGTCAAGGGACACAGGCTCTGGCACTGTAACCTCAGTCAGCCCCCACCCACGCCTTCTATGTCCCTCCACCAAAACCCCTGGAGTCATAGCCACCCTAATGCAGGAATAGGAGGTAGAGGAGTTGTCTAGAACTTTGCCAAGTTTCTTTCTCACCGAGGATCTTCCTGTAGACAAAGAAGCTTCCTCTCCACTGTCCCATCTCCCCTTCTCCCTACAGATCCCTCCTTGGAACCTTCCTGGGTTCCAAGTGAGATCAGTGATTGGCCAACTGATCTGTCCCAAAGAGCTGACGGTTGCAGGGCACCCTGTCCCTTCATTGGCACTTGGTCAGTTCCCAAACTCCTCACTAGCACACCTCGTCCATCTCTGCAGGGCCTGGGTCTGTTATTGTGAATTTTAGGTCTGATCATGGCTGTTTACCATGCCTTCTCTCCCGTCCTTCTCCCCTCCCTGCTGCCCTCCAACTCATTCTGGATGGGACTGATTTTCCCTCCCTCATCTCAAGGGTCCTCCAAACCTTGCAGTTTGGACCCATGACATCCTCTTACTTTCCGTGTGGACTGAAGTGGAGGGTCCCATCCGTCAGTCCGTCCGTCCAGGAGGGAGCTGCCCAGCTACCTGCTGGCTCTGCAAGTATTTCTCTCTGTCTCCCTCCCTTTACCTGTGTCTCAAAACCTGTCTGACCAGAGCAGGTGGGGCCCAGATTAAAGGGGCAGGCCTCGCCCTGCTGAATCTGCCGACAAAAAAAGCATTAGAGGAGGATGTCATCCTTTCTGAAAGTTGGGATGCACCTGGGCAAAGGGGTAAGCTCACATTCTAGGCACCTGGAATGCATAAGAGCTCCCAGCTCAGGAAAGCAGAGGAGGAAAGTGAATTTGTGCACCAAAGGGTGCTCGGAGTAGGTTGGGATACCCAGAAAGGAGATGGAATTTGTACACTTATTCATTCAGTAAATATTTACTGAACACCAATTATTAGCTAGGCACTATTCTAGGCAGACACAGAAGAACAGAACAAGATGACAGTGAAGGTCTCTGCCCTTGAGAAGCTTATATTCTATTAGGGGTAACATAATGAAGAAGCCTAGCAACTAAATCAATTAGACAATTTTAACAGGAAAGACCTCTTTAGTAAGGTAACGTTTGAGCTGAAATCTGATGGGAAATCAGGAGTATGAGTGTTACAGGCAGAGGAACAGCAAGTGAAAGTCCAATGGGTGGCAAAGACTTCGGCTGTTTCAGGAACAGAAAGAAGGTGGGTGGCTGGAGCCAGGAGCATAGCAGTAGAAGGGCAATTTATGTTCTCAGTACAATGTGTACACAGGAAAAAAAAAAAAAAAGCAAAAAACCCTTGCTTTTTATTTATTTTTTTGAGACAGAGTCTCACTCTGTCACCCAGGCTGGAGTGCAGTGGCACGATCTCCGCTCACTGCAACATTCACGTCTCGGGTTGAAGCGATTCTCCTGCCTCAGCCTCCCTAGTAGCTGGGAATACAGGTGGGTGCCACCACGCCCAGCTAATTTTTTTTTTTTAATTATTATTTTTAGTAGAGATGGGGTTTCCCCATGTTGGCCAGGATGGTCTTGATTTCTTGACCTCATGATCTGCCGGCCTTGGCCTCCTAAAGTGCTAGGATTACAGGCGTGAGCCACTGGGCCTGTCCTAAAAAAACCCCTTGCTTTTTAAACTTAGGTTTAAGCTAAAACAAGACAAAGCAGTCATGTTCCTAGCTGTGAGCCCACCTGCCCTGATTTCCAGCGTGAGGATCAGGAGATAGAAACGTGAGGGAGTAGCTTGTCATTCCTATGAGACCTTATCCCTAAAGTCATTTGAGCTTTTTGAGGGCAGAGATAGTGTCTAACTTGCTCACTTCTGTGTCCCTAGAATCCTGCACTGTGGCTGGAAGACAGGAGTTCAATAAATGTTGCTGGCTGGTAAGGGATAGATATGTGCAGCGCGTGGTGGCGCTTGTCTGTAGTCCCAGCTACTCGGGAGGCTGACGCTGGAGAATCACTTGAGTCCAGGAGTTCTGGGCTGTAGTGCGCTATGCCGATCGGGTGTCTGCACTAAGTTTGGCATCAATATGGTGACCTCCTGGGAGCGGGGGACCACGAGGTTGCCTAAGGAGGGGTGAATCGGCCCGGGTCGGAAACGGAGCAGGTCAAAACTCCTGTGCTGAGCAGCAGTGGATCACGCCTGTGAATAGCCACTGCACTCCAGCCTGGGCAACATAGCGAGACTCCGTCTCTAAAAAAAAAAAAAAAAAAAGGAAAAGAAAAGATATGCAAGCTGGAAATCTTTTGGGAGGTGGAGCTGAAGGGCCGAGACGCTTGTACAAGAGTAATTTCTTCCAGGGCTTTATTCCTGTGTGATGTTTGGCCCTTTCCAAGGAAACTCTCACATGCACTTTTCGTTTGTTTAAATTATGGGGGGAAAGGGAGAGCAGGACTCACTCTTACCAGTAATCTGAAAGACGCTTGGCTCAAACGGGGCTGGGGAAAAGGGGCAAAAGCATGGACCAAATGATCACTGTAGTTCAAAGCAGTCCCGCTTCTAGCTGTGAGCTCACCTGCCCTGATACAGTTAAGCTTTGGCCACCTCACTGGGTAAACTGTCCGTTCTCTTATAGATTTACCAATAAAGTTTTTCGCAAGGGTTTGGAGAAGCCGGAAAGAGGCCATGCTGCCCAGAGTTAGTTCTGGCAACTTCCCGGGAGGGAAATCGAGTTTCGCGAGATTTGGTAGCAGCAGGCCACTGGCCCGCAACTGTGCGGCTGCCATCGCGAGATTTGGCAGGAGGAGGTGGAGCTGTCGCGGGCAGCCGCCTCATAGCGATGGCGGCCGAGCAGGGCCGGCGGCGGTGGCGGCTGCGGCTACGGCCGGAGACTGCAGTGGTGGTGCTAGTGGTGGGTGGCGGGGGCCTGTGACCGGAAGCTGCCCCCGGACCTGGGAACCATGAGCCAAGGCCCCCCGACAGGGGAGAGCAGCGAGCCCGAAGCAAAAGTCCTCCACACTAAGCGGCTTTACCGGTGAGAGGGGCCAGGGCGTGAGAGCAGCCGCCGAGGAAAGTAGGGGGACGGCGAAGGGCGGGGCCTCCCCCGCGGGCGGGGCCCGGTGCCGGGGTGAGGTGCGGACGGGGAAGGAGGATGCAATTTTGGAGGCGGGGCGGGGTCCCGTAGTAACTCGGGATGGAACTGAAAGGAGGAATTGGGTGGGTGGGAGGTTTGGAGGGAAGCACGTGGAGGAATCCCCTCCACAGTGTGCTTGGTCGGGACGAGCCCCAAGCTTTGTGGAGTTGGGGTCGTAGGGTGGGAATTGAAGGCTAGAAGGGTTGGGTAGGTAAAGGTGGGGTCACAGGTGGAGAAAAACCCGGAAGGGAACGGTGCTTGGAATCCTGTGAGATGTACAGAGAAGAGTCCTGGACTGAAGTCCATAGAGCTAGGTTCAGGTCCTCTCTTTGCCACTCTCTCACCGTGTGACCTTGGGCCTCAGTTTCCTTATCCTTAAAAGGAGATATTTGAATTGGATATACTCTAAAGTCCCGTACACCTCTAATTTTGAGGAGTCTGAATGAGAAAGTCTTGGCCTGGAAGGGCCACGAACGACTTTATGTTCAGAGCGTTCTTGGGACTTGGGAGGCAATTCGGGGCACCTGGGGACTTCTCAGTCTTGCCTTCCTTCCAGCCTCATGACTGTAGTCTCTTGCCAGGCAACTTGCGTTCCTGGTTTCTGATTTCCATAATGCCACCCACACTCCACAAGTCACATCTTCAGCCCTTCAGCCCTCTGTTGGGAACAAGCCAGAATGAGCTCTTCCCATCAAGGGTGGAGGAGTTGCCGTGTAGGTCAGCTAGAACATGGGCTCCACAACCGGATCAAAATAATATAAAGCTTGGAGACTGAGTTTTGTGCCTTCTGCCACATAGTGAGGTTTGGGGTTTTCATGTAGCTCAGGCTTTACGGATCACGGATGTTTGCATGAGAAGAAGACCCTCACAGCCTTGGCCCCATCTTGGCAGTGAAAGAGTCAAGAGCATGTTGTCTTTTCCTCTTTGAGTAGGCATCCTGCCTTCTCTGGCATTGTAAGCCAGAGGCAGAGGGGAGTATAGGCTGCTCCAAAAATAGAAAAATGATTCAATCCAGCGGCCCCTGGGCTTCCACCGTGGGCTGCCCCAAGCAGTCCCCAGGGGGGTGAGGAGTTGGCTCAGGGTGGCACGTGTGCCTCATCATGCTGCCCAGTGTCAGTGCTGCCTGTCAGACAGAGCGTGGGCCGTGTCTGCAATATTCCTTGTCTCCAGCGTTTGGGGATGACTCTGGTCATCCTTCCAGTTGTGTAGTTCCTTCTTAAACCACTACATTCACAGGACTAACCTAAGCTGATGTATTTACGTGTGTGGCTTACCTGTGTGCACATGGGTATTTGCCTGTAAGTGTGGTGTTGGCTTTGAGCAGGGTAGAAATTTGAGGCAGCCAGTCACTGTTTTTATAATTTATTATAGCATGGTGATCAGTGGAAGGAACTAGGAGGAAAGTCTGGTTTCTCTGCCCAAGATAAACGTGTTGTTGGACTATGGACTTGTCACCCTGAGCTTCAGAAATTTGGGGAACTCCCACACCTAGCTGTTTACGGATATGAAATTCTGAAATATTTTTAGTCAGAAGAAAGGGCAGCAGGAGAAAGGAGCCTGGAAAGGACACAAGCATCAATTGATTAATTAGGCCAATTCATTAGTTATTTGTTTTTAAAAACATTTTTCTGGCTGGGCGCGGTGGCTCATGCCTGTAATCCCAGCACTTTGGGAGGCCAAGGCAGTCAGATCACGAGGTCAGGAATAGGAGACCAGCTGGCCAACATGGTGAAACGCCGTCTCTACTAAAAGTACAAAAAATAGCTGGGCGTAGTGGTGGGTGCCTGTAATCCCATCTCCTCGGGAGGCTGAGACAGGAGAATTGCTTGAACCTGGGAGTCAGAGGTTGCAGTGAGCTGAGATCTTGCCACTGCACTCCACTCTG